AGTATCAATAAGTAGCATAAGCTAAAGCAAACCAAAAAAAGTATTGCATTTACTCGCAATGTGATAGGCTACCCAACAGTATGCAGACCATAATAATTACTTATTTACAGCTACAAATATATGAATTATACAATATTATGGCTATTGGCTGGAATTATTTTATTAATAATTATTATAGGCTTAAATTAAAATATCCTGACAGTGAGACTTAACCATAAAGACGCCTAAAAAACCAAAACCATTAAAACTATAAAAAACGCCTAAACAGGTAAAAACTATAGGCTACACACAATTAATTATATTCCTCTACCCCCCTAATGCAATATAAATGACTATAACCGTGACAAAGTCCTAAGTTACCCCTGATGGCAGTGTAGGCCCCTGTGTTTGTTTGGTTTATATTCTTTTTTATAAATGTTTGTTTCTCATTATTTGGTGACTTTTTCTAGTCTGAGGTGCACATTAGACTGATAAAAAAACACCAAGAGATTTATTTCTTTTATTTTGGTATTTACATAAGTCATTAGTTTTATCCTCATTTGCAAAACTCACCTTCTGGGTTCATGTCTGCAGCATGGTTTCCGGGGGTGTTTAAGAGGACGCGCGGCCTTCCTGTTCCTCATTTTATGCCATCCCAAAGAATTCTGGGTAGTGTAGGCATAGTCCATTTCTCAATGGGAGCAGGGGGGTATTGTTTCATGTTTTATTGTGTTTATGTTCATTGTATGTAGAAAATGTATTTGTTTATTATTCGTATTATTTTCCTTGTATAATTAAGGTTGATGTATTTTGAATATTATTTTCATTAAGTGTAGTTATCTATTATGTGTGAACATTATTTAATTCCCCTATTACTGTAAAATGGTTGACCCTGTCAGTATAGAGGAATGTATGTTTGTCTGGTGAGGAGGGTCACCTTGAGTGAGTTTTGTTTATGTTATTTTATTTTTATTTATTTTTTCTTTATTTGGAAGTCAATAAAGATTTCACTGACTGCAAGAATATGAATTCTAAATGATTAAAAATACATTTAAAAAAAGTTGTTGTCAGTTTCTGTTGCATTTTTTGGCTTCAAGGCATCACTTTAAAATACATTATGGTTTATGAAAGCTTTTTGGCATTTAATTATTATTCTTGTGTATTGGTAAACAGAACGATGAAGAGATTTCATGGGAGGGGTGCTAGGCTTGCAGCCAATTTCACATAACATGCTGAGGAGGAAATTGTGAATTGAAAATGAATGAATTGCCCGTTTAAACCGGCAAGGCTATGGAGAACTATTATCAAACTGTTTTCCAATTGCTGAGCAGTGTTACACAATAACTGTTAACGTAGACAGAGTGTTAAAATAGGACTTCGGAGCTTACATATAAATGTTTATTTGTAAAAGTGTATTTCATGTAGACTATTGCATTTGAATTTTAAAGGGGTCATATATATGATACAATTTTAACACTTTTCCCTGAGGTCCATTAATAATGATAGTCAACGTTTCTTATACCTCAGTGTTTTCAAACATTTTGAGGATTATCGAAGCAAGCCCAACTAAAAGGGTTAGATCAACCAAAAATGAAAAATCTGTCATCCTTTATTGACCTTTAATGTCGTTCATTTGTGTTACGAAGATAGGATAAGGAACACATGAGGGTGAGTAAATGATTAAAAAAAAAAATCTGGGGGTGAACTATCCCTTTAATTAAATTACATGTGAACTGACTGATGGAATCAGGGTTAAGTTTCATTCAACTTAAACCATTTTTAAATGGAATTTTGCCGTGTTTTTCTACAAATGATTTATCTGTGCACCTCATTATTATTATTTTGTTTTTAATTCATGTGATCTTTAATTAAAGATTATAATACACCTTTACTAAGTTGACTGTACTGAAATGTGTGTTGGCAGTGCCTGATGGACACAACCATCCTATAATGATAAAAATCCATCAACTGTTTTTGTTTTAAACTCAAATTGAGCCGTTTGATTTTGTGACGTCACTAAATCGGACGCCCCTCCCACGATTGATGATTGACAGCAGTGATTGTGGTGTTCTGTTCTTGGGAGTAATAACGAACACTGCAGTCTTGATGTTCCTAAATCCGAACCACTGAAAAAACAGTGGCTGAGTTTTGTTTTTCGAAGGGAATATTCCCCATGTGCAACGTCAATGCTTTCATGTTTGCACGAATCACTTCTCAGACTGCTTTATAAACGAGGGTCAGTGTAAAGCTGGGTTTGCTAAGAAACTGCCCCTGAAAAAAGAATCGGTACCAACTATTTGCGTCCCCGCTGCACCAAAGTTGTATTAATCTTTGCAAATCGTGAAAAAAAGTTGTTCATGACCATCAATCAGTCAACGAACTAACATATACATCAGTAAACACACGGTGTTCGTATCTCACTACTCTACACTGCCAGTACATACAAAGATAGATCAAAGTGACCAACCATTCTGAAACGTCTTGTTCGGGCCGTCATCTTGTTCTGGATCGGACTCCGGTTCAAACTTATACGGTTGCACAGATGTGTCCTCAGAGACTCCCTACTCAACTTCAAGGCAACACTCCATGTGCATTGTGCAAAACGCCCCACAGAATAGAGAGGCGGGGTTAGATAAGCTCATTATCATTTAAAGGCATATGCACTGGAATGGCCAACCCGATCTCACGACCAAATCGTACGAATTCGACGAATGATTAAAAAGCGGCTAATTCGTAATAATTTATACGACCTCACTCGTGCGAATTAGTACGATTTTGCTAAATCGTACATATTTTATGAATCGGCCAATTCGAATTCGCACGAATTGGTCGTGAGATAGCGTAGGAATGGCGTGCTGAAAACAGAGCTGTTTTTAACCAGGTAAAATTAGTGTTTTCTTACGATACAAATGAGAATTTTTATTTATTACAAAGTTTTCATTTAGACTCTTTATCTCTTCTCTTCTCTGGTGCCGTGGTTATGGGAGTGAGGACGGGATAACCAGTCATAGCTTCACTTGGATATATGTCAAAATAGGGAAGAAAAAGGCTACTTCCATTATAGGTGTCTTTAAACACAAAAACAATCAAAAAAATTTTTGATATGTAAATGTGGACACATGTTAAATGTATTTGAAATTTTAATAGTATGGCTTCAAGATCTAACAGATGCTCTTTTTGGATCGAGGAGGAAGTTATGAGACTCTATTACTATATTTCAAAAGATCAAGGAAAATAATATGACCCCTTTAAAACTCAGCAACATGTATCCCTTAACAAACACAGCATCATGTGCTTACTTGTACATTTCCACACGATGAGCAGAATTACAAGAGTAAGAAAAGTATCTCTTTAAACAGTCTGTGCTAGTCTTGTTGTCCAACCACGGGAAGGAACTGGTAATGAAAGCGTCCTTGTTAACAAACAGGCTTCACATTTCACCTGAGAGCACATTTACATCCTGGATTGAAGAAATATCAACTAAATTAACAATTAGATCCATGTGCATGTTTCCTACTTGTTCTAGAGAAGTCATTTCTTCTCCAAGAGAAAGAAATCTCAGAATCTCAGACTTTCTCCAACTGTTCACAAAATATCCATTCTTAGTTTTGTTCCCCAAGAAAGATCATACACGCAACATGACATGATTGTCAGCGAAGGGCATGTCCTCGTTCCATATTCCAAGACACGCCCACTTATCAATTCTCTTTTCTTTTTGCGCAATCTGTGACCTCCGTCACCTGTAATTCCACTGTATCAGTGTTGGTTTGGCCTGACTGTATGAGCTCAACCATTGTAATAGGCCACAAGAGAGACAACAGGTCTGTTGGTGGGCTGGCCCGCACCAGGAGAGGGTTTCTCACCCTCGGAGGAACTTTTCGGCCCCCCGCTGTGTGGGGCACAGATAGTAGGATGGCCAGCCGAGGCCACTGCGAAGGTCACATTCTGGCCATTGGCGCGCCGCACTGTCCTGAGAGTTTTGGTGACTTTGGAGGAGTTTTTAAAGCTGGAGCCTCTCTGTGGGGTGGTGCACATGATGAGCGCATGGAAGCATCTGCAAAACTGACACACAAAGATTGAGAGAGCACAGATTACATTTCTAATCCTTAAAAGGATAGCTCACACACAAAAAGAGCTGCATTTTGTAATTTCATTCCAAACCTGGATTTTCTTTCTTCAGTGGAAAATGCCTGTTCACACTAAGAATGATAAAGCATCCACACCAAATGACATTAACATTCTTTTATTAAAAAACTAAACATAGTTTTCATTATAGTTATTGTCATTTAGTGTTTTTTGTCCATATACAATAAAAGTCCAATGTTGTTTTTGATAACACAGTCTCATCCCAAAAAGTCATATAACTGACGTTTTGGGACGTATTTTGACCATACGTCAATATCAGCCTTTTTAGGGCCCCCTTAAACGTCGGTAGATGGCGATCCCGGGCCGTCATACAACTGACGCTTTACCTTTAACGTCAGTTAGGTGACGGGTTAGGTTTAGGGTTAGGTTTAGGTATGGGGTAGAGTTAGGATCCCATAACCTCATCTACCGACGTTTAAGGGGGCCCTAAAAAGGCGAATATTGACGTATGGTCAAAAGACGTCCCAAAACGTCAGTTATATGACGTCTTGGGGTGAGACCGGGTTGTTTTTGACCCCCAACGACTTTCATTTTATATGCAAAATCCACTGAAATTCTCTTTAAAATATCTTGTTTTGTGATCGTAATACTAAATCTAATTATAGTTGTCCTTGGAGTGAACTGGCCTTTAGTTGTTTTGTTTTTTGCCCATATGTTCATGACTTGCAATCACAACATTATTTCTTTTGTCAAATCAACTTAATTAAAGTGTTTCAGATATCATCATATTTTGAGTTTCTGATGATTAAATCAATCTCCTTCATTGTATTAACTCACTTTTTCCATTTCAATGAACTTCAAATTTTAAGGCAACCAGGTTACTTCATTTTTTAAGTTTTTTTTTTAACAGTGTTTATTGTACGGGAAAAAAACTAAGCTTTCTATAAAATATCTTCTTTTGTGATCCACAGAAGAATGTCAAATGGGTTTGGAACAACATGAGTTTCCTCTTTAAGAGAAGGAAATTCACATAATGAGTCAAAAAGACAAACAAAACGATGCCTGAATGTTCACTTGATTGCACAAGCTCATTTCTCCCATTCTCTGCTGGATTTGCAACTGTACAGACAGCAGGAATAATAAAATAGCAACGTGGGAATCATCAGCCCTGTGACAACAGCTGATGCTATGTCTCCTCTAATGTGGACTGGGTTGTTTGCAAATTGAAAGCTCTCTGTGCACAGAATTCATTAGTAGAGGTAGGACCTCTCGGCAGGCATGCAGGCAGCGATTATCTGAATGATATGCCTCATTTAGGGTGCCAATCCCTCGCTGAGCATCTGTGTATATACCTCTACATCCCTACGCACGCAGATCACACACCCAGAAGAAACAGCCTGTAGGCTTTGACCATCAGGTCTGATGGAAACAAAGAGCTCTGTGTTCTTATGCTGCACTTTTCATTATAGATAAAGGTTTATTGCAATTAATCATAACCGTCTCAGAGGTCTCAGAGGAGAAAAACACATTTTCCAAGAGAAGGTGTTCTGTTGATGTGTGTGAGAGATTTACCACATCCTCACAAAACAACCTTCACCATTAAATTGACAAATTCAGCCAAACTTTTGAAGAGAGTTTTATACTAAAATGCAGAGGTGCAAGTATTGGTCACAAAGGTTCAGCAACTCCATTTCTGAAACGGAAACACTTATTTTAATCTTAAAACATTGACAAAGCAATTTTTTTTTTTTGCTCTAAGAACACCCATCAGAATAAAATAGGGAAATGTTTGTGTGGCCATGACTCTATACCACCTTCAGATTGCAAAAAGATTTCATGCAAGTGTTCAGTAGATGAATGGCTTGTCATGAATTGCTCCCTCAGGAGAGAGGAACTAATCCGCTTTTAAAATTCTCCTTGTTTCTGGAACCGTGGCTTTTGAAAAACATTGAAAAACTGGGATTCAAAAATCGAATTTCAACCTGAAAATAAACAGAAACGTTAACACATTATGACATAAAATGAACAAGAAAAATGCAATTGTGAAGTATTTCCAGATATATTATTGAACAATATATATTATTGTAAATACTTTTTTGACCCAGACATACTCATTTACATCTTGTAAAAAAAAGTAACATAATCCACAAAACACAGAGCGAGATTTCACCCCTTGAGAAAACGTAGTGTACTTAGTATACGTCCAAGTTCACTGTATACTTATAGTCTACTACATTTCCTCAGAAGATGCAGAACCGTCATGTTTTGTCAGTTTACTTGAAACATTGCTGTTTTAAAACATAAATGCTTTTTTGATACTCAATCAGTGGCTTTGAAACAGGATGACAACAAAAAGATCTAGTCAGAGACAGACCTCTGAAGGGGGTTAGATTTGGGGCAAGGGGTCAACGTTAATGGCAGACTGCAGATACACACTTTTCCCAAGACATTTGGCTTCAGTGAGCCTGTAAATGGGCATTCAGTGTTCTGTTGCTGATTGAAAGCAATCATGCATGACCCTGACACTCACTGATAGTCCTTTCAAAGCCCTCTTCATGCCTCCACCAGATATCCACAGCACACATGTCCTTAATGTTTTCCACTCACTCACATGGAAGACCTATAATGTAATGAATCTGAAAATTGGTCACGTTGCTGTCAGCCGTTGCAGGTGTGCATCTTTTTTGGGGGCGAGCGAGCAGGTGAGGAATGTGATGAGCCTAAGGTGGGAGGAACGAGTCTATAAATGGATTCAGATCCACACACTCATTACAGGAGCTGGCAGGAGGTCTGGTGAACCCCGCAGAGATGGCGAAGGTGGCTTTGCATCTGGACATGCTGTAAGACAGTTAACACAACTATCTGCCTGCGGGTGTTTCAACCGGAATCAGATTTAGCGCATATGGCACATTGATTTTACATGGCCATAAAGTGAATTTACAAGGATTAGATGACATTCATTTTGTTGATTAGTGTGTGCAATTTTCATTCATAAGTAATGTTCCTGGTTTAAAAACAATTAAACTCCATTGCCATGCAGACTTTGTGGCAAAATATTGATTACCGGAGAAAATACTTATAGTAAGGCATCTACAATGGAAGTACATGGGGCTGTTTCTGTAGATCGGATGGATCTCAACGTCAGAATAATGATTTGCGGAATTTGATCCGACCCAGGTTGACGAAACCCTGCCAGAAGATTGAGAAAGCCAGGGAAGAGCAGAATCAGAAGACGAAGTGATGATAATAAAAAGAGCCGTTTATTGAATAATCTTAATGCCCATAATGTTTCAAGGCCCAGACGTCATCTGACTTGTACAAATTAAACAAGTGTTATTTTACCACACCACAGCAAAAACAATGGAAAATTACTGTTTCGCAACATCGTCCTAACGTTAAAATCCTTGAAATGGAAACATCTCTTTCTCATGAAAACAAATATTTCTTGAAACCATACAATCACACTATTAAATAGCAAGCATTGCAAGAGCAACAAAATAAGTAAAATAATAAGTAATATAGAAACATAATATACAAACGAAATGACAAATATATAAATGAATAATGACTATAAAATTAAAAAATATAAAAAACTAAGAAAATAAAACAACACATATATAGTCGCTCTCTCAAAGAAACACACACACGACGCACACACACTCATAACTCTTTCATTTCTCACAAAAATGATTTAGACACAGCTCAAACGATACACATTTTGGATGAATTAATGTAAATGCACAGGCAAGTTGCAAATTTTGGATGACGGCAGTGTTTGCTTTAATTACCCAGTAGAGCTTAACGAGTAGGCAAAACAGAAAAGTCAATTAAAGGAGAACTCCGGCGCAAAATGAAACTTTGGTCTAATAAAACATCGGTACCTAGTCAATCGTTCTCTGAGATTTGTTTTCATGATAATTGAATGTAAAGAGTTTTATCTCTAAAAACTGTTTAGCGTATAATGCTAGTACTGGGGGCATTTACTCAGTAAAAATAAATCGTTCGTTTATACCACTAACAAGGCTCAAAATAGCCCCACACTAACACAGTAACATAATGAGGGTCCATTCATGCAAAACGAAGCATTGAAGAAATTTGTAAGAGTACAGACCGTTTAATAAGAAGATACTTTATAAAGACAGTTCACTTTGTGTATACAGACAGGAGCCATCTTAGAAAATAGTCTCGATTTTGCGCCGGATTTCTCCTTTAAGGTTGTAAGTCAAAGACAAAAATATTTCCGAACTTAGTTAGTTTTCAGGATCATTGGAGCTAGTACATTCTTAATGTGAGCTAAAAGCTTTCTTAAAATTTGCCTAAATATTTCATACATAAACTAGCACGGAGGACATGCAGAACTTTGTGAATGACCAGCCTTCAAATTTCAAACAGCAGAGCTTGCGATAACAACTTTACCTGTACTTTATGTTCCCCATGATCTGATAATCTGATAATTCCAAAAGTAAAAATTCAAACTGAGTCACGTGAGAAAAACAAATTCTTTGCAATTTTCGTAAAAGTCTGAACTTGACTTAAGCAGTTCAAAGAGCAATAATTTCTGTGTATACTCATGGTGGATAAGTGCGTGTACTTTTGGCCGGGGTAGCCGGGTACAATCCGGATCAAAGAGGAGTGCTGGGTAGCAGACTTTTGAGCAGATGATGGTCTGGAAAGGAGATGATTGGCTCTCTGTGGGGTGCTGAGAAGCTTGGGAGAGAAGGACAGAACTTCCGCGCCAATTATGCTACACCTGATCACAGGTGGTCCGGAATAACTGATCCCAGTGCTTGGATGAACTGCCTGTCTCTCTGGAAAGCTCTTACTTCGGGAAGTGGGCAGCTTTGTTTGTCTCATTCTCTCTTACATAGTGTGCAATGAGTATTTGTGTGTGTGTGAGTGTGTAAGTTGCGCTCAGCGGAGCTTCTAGCTCTCCAATGTCATTTTTTTTTAAATATGTGAAATGTATGTCGAGTTGTCACAAAGAATAGAGCATACCTTGTAGTACTGCAGTGCTTTATCATTATGCGTTGGGCTACCGCAAACAATAACTGATTGGGTCATCTGACCAATAACCGCGGATTAGCATCACGCAAAGGTGGCGTTTGGAAAAATGAGTCGTTGAACGAATCATTTGGGAGTCGGTGAGCAAATCCGGTAAAAATAAATATATAGGTGCCCTTTATAAAAAATATATGGGGGTGAAATGCATCCGTCCATCATAATAAATTATCCAAATGGCTCCAGGGGGTTAATAAATGCCTTCTGAAGCGAAGCGATGGGTTTTTTGTAAGAAAAAAATACATATTTACGACTTTATCAGCTATGCGATACTCCGACATGTCACAAGAGTAACCCCTGACGCGATGTATGACGTAGCAGTCGGAGTATCATAGCGAATGGGCTATATGCACGCATAAGTTCCGCATTTGACGTAAAGATGCTCGTCCATTTCCGGTTGTGTAGATTAAAGCGGAGGAAAACGGGATTATGGCAGAGTCTTCAATGTTTACTGTCCTCCCGTCTTTGAAACGAAACGTACATACGTTTAGATGTAATTTTATATATAGTTATGTTTATTTCATATAATTTTAAAAAGAAGCATAAACACAACGAGGGGGTGTCTGTTTTATCTGTTTTTGTGACTAACGTTTCATTAGTATAACCATAGAGTATAAAATTCAATATAAATTCTCGGTATTGCATTGGACTCTATGATCGGCGGAAGTTATCGAGCATCCGTAATCCTTCACCGGAAATAATGCCGTGCATAGAGCCCATTAAGTTGTAAATATGGATATTTTTCTTACAAAAACCCAACCCAACAAAAAAGTGAACTTGCGCTGTGCACAGTCACGTACCGGAAGCTATTATAGCTAATAAAGTTTTAAATATGGATTTTTTTTCTTACACAAACGCATCGCTTAGTTTCAGAAGGCGTATGGATTGTACGTATGGATTACTTATATGATGGATGGGTGCACTTTTTGGGGCTTCGAGATCTCACCCCCATTCACTTCCATTATAAAGCGTGGAAGAGCCAGGATGTTTATATCTCAGATTGTGATAGGATGCGCTCAGCGGAGCTTCTAGCTCTCCAATGTCATTTTTTTTTAAATATGTGAAATGTATGTCGAGTTGTCACAAAGAATAGAGCATACCTTGTAGTACTGCAGTGCTTTATCATTATGCTTTGGGCTACCGCAAACAATAACTGATTGGGTCATCTGACCAATAACCGCGGATTAGCATCACGCAAAGGTGGCGTTTGGAAAAATGAGTCGTTGAACGAATCATTTGGGAGTCGGTGAGCAAATCCGGTAAAAATAAATATATAGGTGCCCTTTATAAAAAATATATGGGGGTGAAATGCATCCGTCCATCATAATAAATTATCCAAATGGCTCCAGGGGGTTAATAAATGCCTTCTGAAGCGAAGCGATGGGTTTTTTGTAAGAAAAAAATACATATTTACGACTTTATCAGCTATGCGATACTCCGACAAGATACTCCGACAAGATGTGACAAGATGTCACAATGTCACAAGAGTAACCCCTGACGCGATGTATGACGTAGCAGTCGGAGTATCATAGCGAATGGGCTATATGCACGCATAAGTTCCGCATTTGACGTAAAGATGCTCGTCCATTTCCGGTTGTGTAGATTAAAGCGGAGGAAAACGGGATTATGGCAGAGTCTTCAATGTTTACTGTCCTCCCGTCTTTGAAACGAAACGTACATACGTTTAGATGTAATTTTATATATAGTTATGTTTATTTAATATAATTTTAAAAAGAAGCATAAACACAACGAGGGGGTGTCTGTTTTATCTGTTTTTGTGACTAACGTTTCATTAGTATAACCATAGAGTATAAAATTCAATATAAATTCTCGGTATTGCATTGGACTCTATGATCGGCGGAAGTTATCGAGCATCCGTAATCCTTCACCGGAAATAATGCCGTGCATAGAGCCCATTAAGTTGTAAATATGGATATTTTTCTTACAAAAACCCAACCCAACAAAAAAGTGAACTTGCGCTGTGCACAGTCACGTACCGGAAGCTATTATAGCTAATAAAGTTTTAAATATGGATTTTTTTTCTTACACAAACGCATCGCTTAGTTTCAGAAGGCGTATGGATTGTACGTATGGATTACTTATATGATGGATGGGTGCACTTTTTGGGGCTTCGAGATCTCACCCCCATTCACTTCCATTATAAAGCGTGGAAGAGCCAGGATGTTTATATCTCAGATTGTGATAGGATGGCTTGAGGGTGAGTAAATCATGGGATAATTTTCATTTTTGGGTGAACTATCACTTTAAGGAAGTTTTCAATGGACACCAAGACGAAAATATTGCGAAAATTTCTTTTTTTGCAGTGCAATTTCATGTGATTCTTATAGCCAATTAATGAACAAGGGAGTTTTTTCAGCACACTGATGCTTCCCTTAAGGACACGTTGAGCTCTTAATAAGGGAGAAAATGTGACATGTGTAGGAAAATTCTTTGCATCCCAGGAAAGAGGAAGCAGTAAATGCAATTACCACACAGTATGACAGCTCCTGAACCAGGGCGGTATAACAGTACAGTTATTTACTCACGGGCTCAGGAACTTTGCAGCTCTCTCGCTCTCCAAATCTCACTCTTTTCCATGCTCTTCCATTTTCTGCTGTCTTTCAATCTCCGGTGGTCATATCGACACATGCCAAGTAGATACTTGAATCTGTACAGCACTTTAAGTCTTCAACTCGCCTCAACTCACAGTTTCCATGGTTACGGGCTGGGAGGAATTGAAGACTGAAAATGACATACAGGTGACTGGCGTCTCCTCCGACAGTCAAAACTAGTTTCTCCAAGTCTTCAGCTCCGGTCTTATCACAAGCAATTGTTCGGAGCAGAAGCTTTAACCCATACAGAAGAGATAATACAAAACCTGTTCATATGTACACAAGTTCAGAAATAACAATACAATGTGAATATTGTATCAGTTTGATCAAATAAGAAGTGCTTCTTGGAATGAAAAGTTTGTTTGAAAACTTTCTACTACTTCCCTGAATGTACTCGGATACAATCCTTGATCAAACTAGAGCATTGAAAGTTTATATTTACTCGAATGGTTTGTACATTCTTCCAAAAACGAACATAACTACTTGCTGTTTCATTTTTTGTCCAGCCATAAACTAGAATGAACATTCAATTGGAGTACAAACCAGGCAAAACTACATGGGATGGACTTGAACAGCTGCATACTGTAAAATATAATCCAAAGATAAAGTAAATAACACTGAAAAAAAAGAAGAAAAAAATATTTTTTTGCTATCAGGAAAACAAGCAATGCATCTAAAAGCAGCTTTTCTATAGCAATAGATTCAGATTTTCCAAGAAACTTGTCAGATTAGTAGGATTAATATATTTTCCCTTTTTCCAGCATTCACTGGAGCTGGGATAATCAATATGGTTGCATTGTTTGGCCTTTTGCCAGTTTAATTCACATCACTGTTGTTGGCTTTATCATGTGTAATAATTTAAAAATGATAAGGTTTAAGGTATTTCACTCATGTTCATGAGCATCCATATGGTTTTTCAATAATTTAAGCCAAGCCCTTTACCCTCGGAACAATTTAAAACCATATAAATGAAGGGAAAAGAACTCTTTGCAAACCGATTCACCCAAAAATGGTAATTATGCCACCACTGATGACTTTCTTTCTTCTGTGCTACTCAAAAGAAGATTGTAGAGAATGTTGGTAATCAAACAGACTTTTATTTTATGGACAAAAACACAGGCATTTCTCAAAATGTAATTTTTTTGTGCTATAGAAGAAATAAAGCCATTCAGGTTTGTAATGACATAAAGATGAGTAATTGGCAGATTTTTCATTTTTGGGTAACCTATCCTTTTAATTAATCTTAATATATAATTTTAGTTTGTGAAAACATGACCTTTTAAGTTAATTTAGTACATTTTCATAAAATAAGTAGATAAACTAATGAAAAACAGCAAATTGTTGCCTTCAGTTTTTACCATCAAATACAAGTAATTTTTACAAGTAGTTTTTACAACAAGATGAGCAGAAAGAGAGATTAGAGGTTATTAGCAGAATTCAAAACCAGTAAAAAAAATAAAAAAAAAAAATATTCAGTTCCCTTGTTCACTTTTTGTCCTCAATGAAAAACTGAAGCTGAGAACCTGATATTAATTTTACAGCTTAATGAAACTTTCAAACGCTACAGTTTAAATTATATGGTCTTTGTATGAAATACAGAACCCATAAAAGCTTATAATTGAATGTATAATGACTTGTCTGGGAACTTAGTGGACTTATATTTGGAGCTGTAGTTTAACTTAAGCAACCCAGACAATTATACAATTTTGCCATCTCATTTTTTCTCAGCCTACATGTTTTGGACAAAAATAAGTTCACAGGCAAAACACAGTTCCTATATTTCACATTCAAAGGCGGTTTGGACTTGGACAAAGAATGACTTTAGGTTTGTGTAATCTGTGCTGTTAAATTCATACTAAAATGAGGTGTTGATCATGTTCTTTTGGGAATGACACCTAAACTGAAAACCGTCAACTCAAGTGATCCTGCCGTCAGTGTGTTATTTTAAAGAAAAACTGTTAAAGACTAAATATAGCAAAGAATAGCATGTGCTTATTACAAAACACAGTAGCATCAAAAGCATATAGTGAGTTAAATCATTCTTCGCATTCATTACAATGGATTGGCTTACAAAATAGCAACTAAATGAATGATGCAAACAAATAGTGTTAAAACTTTTCTCAAAAACGTTATTACTGTAAGGCCCTTCATACCAAGGCGAAAAATAACAATAAATATAGTTCTAAAAATCGTTCTAAACACAAAATAATAGCAGAGTCCAGGTGATGAACGATATAAACATTGGGCGCACATAGATTGAACAGGGCGTTATCGTTTGTTTGTGGACGCTTAATAAGTTATCATTATGGATATCTTTATAGTTATTGTTCTTGGTGTGAATGGGTCTTTAGACATTTTTGCAAGCATCTAAGGTCATTTTTAGCTTAACACTTTTGGGAAAATGTTTAGCGTTAAAGTGTTTCGCATTTTTAAGTGACTCATCGTTCAAATTCTTATAGTGTGCTGAACATGGATGCAAATATAACATCATTTAGCATTCATATTCATATCACAGCCGTCCAATGAAGATCTAGCAAAAATAGCAGATTACTGATTAGTAGCTTTTCGGTTACCCACCTGTTTGTTCATGAAGATGTAGATGATGGGGTTTATGACGGTGCTAGTCTTGGCTAACACAGAAGGAACAATGCTGGCCGCTGGTGTGACCAGGCCGGGCCGCCCAAACGCGGCTAGCAGGGCCATAATCCCATAGGGCAGCCAACACAACAGGTAACACACCACCATTGTGATCACCATGAAGAGCACACGCTGCTCCCGTTTACGACTCACCACCGTATTGATCCGGCTCACCTTTGTCATTGCAATAAGGAGAAAAGAAGACAAAGAAAAATAAAAGAGATGTGAGGAACATTACAGTCATTGCTTCTAAGCCAAAAATGATAAAACTGTATATGCTGACATTTACAGATTAGATGAACGTTTAGCATAAGCTTCAGGACAGCTCGGCAGAAATGGATACAGCTGTGAATCGATTGCGCTGGTCCCTTAAACACAACAATGAGCATTACACGTTGTAAAATTGCCTACTGATGCACCATTTTCAGTGTTGTAGCACTTTGTCTGAGAGCTGCTAAGTGCTCTTATGGTGTGGTGCCCAAGACCTGAGACTTGGTACTTTGGTTGAACTTTGTGGTTTGGTGCAATGGTGCTCTGAAGTGCCATTCGCTCTCAGAATGCAACGTGGATGCGGAGGAAAGTCATTTTCTTCTGTCTTTTTCCAGTAAAATATTTAAACTGTCCACCAGATATATGTACTTAACACTTGTATTCAGCAAATAAATACATTTATGCTATTTCAGTTCTTTTGAACTTTCTATTCATCAAAGGATCCTGGAAAAAACAATCCACAAAAATATTAATCAGCACAACTGTTTTCATCAGTGATAATATGTCATTTTTAATAAATCAGCATGTTATTATGAAATCTGAAGGATCATGTGACTGTAGACTGGAGTAATAGCTGCTGAAAATTCAAGTTTGCCATCAGAGGAAAAAAATAAATAAAATATTTTATAATATAAAAAAGTTATTTTAGCTTACAGTAATATTTCACAATATAACTGTGTTTACTGTATGTATTAAATAAATGCAGTCTTCTTAAATATGAGAGACTTTTTTAAGTAAGGTATGTGATCATCTTTGGTCATGGGATCTTCAAACAACAAATACAACTTTGAACTGGTTACAATAGTAAATCGTGCAACCCAAATCTGAAGTTTCTCCAAAATATAAACGTATTAAATGTTTAAATTAACATATTATTTTAAATTAAAGCAGGGTATTTTCTATACATTATATAAAATATTTACATTTTGGTTCCATGTGTGAATGTAGTTTAAGGTTAAATTTAATTATTTTAATATTTAATATTATATTTATACACCTGAAGAAGTGCAGGTGTGAGACACTCTAGAACCAGATTGGCAAGGACCTCTGACCTCTGAGGTCAGAAGGTCATCTAGTTAAGAGGGCCTATTCTTGCAAGAATACTTCTCTTTTAATAATTTTCAGAGTTGTCTCTTCCGCAGTGATGATGTTTAACAGAATTTTTATCAATAATATTTTTATCGATGTATGCTTTAAACAGGAAAAAGGGGTACAGAAAAGAAACAAAGAGTTGTTCCCTGAAAAACAAGTCTTAATACTTTACACAATTGGGATTTTGATTTAGGATGTTGACAAGAATTGTCATTTACTGGAAAATAATGCAAAAATACTCACATTATGCCTGCATTCATGTCAAATCAGTTGTCGAACCCAAATAAATAACAATACAAGTCAAATTAATAAAGCTGTTTAGAAAAAGAGAAAGCATATAAGTAGCCCTGTTAAAATAAAATAAAATTAAATAAATAAAAATCTCTACTCATACAGCACTTTAAATTATATACTTAAATTACAACATGAACACATTTCTTCCTGATTGGCCTGTACTTCTGAATGTAATGTAATGGCCAGTGCTCTGAGTAACATAATTGGGCTTTGACTAAGAGCTAATTAAGAGCAATGGAGTGTAACAAGTGCAGCCTTTTCTTTACAGGCGGTCCTCGCTAGCCACCCTCGATTCCACCGTCCACCTTGAACAGACGCCGAAACTTGACAAATTATTACTTAGCAGAATGTCAGATCAATGTCAAGTCACTAATAGGGTCCCCATGGAGTTGTGTCACAGTTTTTGTGTGTGTGTGTGGTTACATTAAAAAGTCCTATATGCACAGAAGGGCACCACACAGGGGTTCAGACTGTGAATAACACAGCAAGGTGTGAAGGCCTACGAGGGTGTGAAGTCACGGTGCAGCACATCACCGGAGGACACAGCCAGCGGCACATTTGTGGCCGCTCTACCAATTAAGAACTAAAGACGTGATGGCTGTTTGAGATGCAGTGCTGAGGTGGGTGGACAAAAAGAGGACAGTTTGTTATCCGTAAGTCATCCACAACTTCAACCCAATTGAAGTTTGATTGGCAGATGGAGATTTAATGGTCACATTAAACACAGGATGCCAAGCAAAGCAGGCTAAAGACAGACAACCGGAGATGGGAGTCACGATAGGAGACAGCGAGTTTGTTGTGTGTCTGTTCCTCAGATGAATTCCAGTAATAACAGCACAACTCCTGATGAAACATTATTGCTGGGGAATAGCAATTATAAGCAGTTATTTAAAAGTGCCGAAATGCTAAATGGATTAAACAAATAAACTGTGAAATGGGGAAAATTAGTCTAACTAGGACAGAAAATGTGCTTTGGGAACATTACAATAATCACACGGAGTGTGAAAGCAAAGGCTCACTCAATGCACAAACCCTCATTAGCATATATATCTATATTTTTTAGCTCTCGATAACAAAAAGTTGAGATTGAATAGATTAAAAACTAAAAAAAAAAAAAAAATCTGATGACATTCAGAGCTGTCAAATTTCTAAAATGTGCCTAGAGAGACAAACTGCAGCCATCCACAGAGTTGCATCATTAGAGAGGGCGAGTGCATGTAAATCCAGGCGTGTGTTACACACCTAACTCCGATGTTGTGGTGGTGTTGTGGTAATGAGGCTCTCCCCTCGGGGTGCGTGTGAGCCCTGCAGTCAGAAGGTGGCAAACCCAGCAGGATAGAGAGCTGCAAAGGAGATGCTAATGCAAGTGGCATATTCAGCGTCTGTCAGAGTGTGTTTGGTCAAGGAGGATCCCTCGGGTGTGTGGGTGGGTGGACGTCAAACATTATGTTGCTAAGAAGATTCTGAAAGCTGTGATCACAGCTGAGATCGGCAAAATAAACTTTGTTTCTGGAGATCTCACTTTGTTCCTCTCTGATACTGATAAAACACCAGTCTCTCTTAGAAAAAGAAATGACTGTCAGCAGTCTGGGGAACATGGGTAAATCTTTCAGTTCTCCAGTGAACCTGATAATTTGCTGATCTGGGGGGTTCAGTACTTCTAAAGGCTTAAGCAAGATGGTGATACTCCTTAAAGGAGTAGTTCACTTTTAAAAAAAACTTTTGCTGATAATTCACTCACCCCCATGTCATCCAAGATGTCCACGTCGTTCTTTCTTCAGTCGAAAAGAAATTAAGGTTTTTGATGAAAACATTCCAGGATTTTCTCCATATAATGGACTTCATTGGGAACCAAACGTTTCAAGGTCCAAATGAGAGTTTCAGTGCAGCTTCAAAGGGCTTTAAACAACACCAGATGATGAATAAGGGTCTTATCTAGGACCCTTCGAGTTATGACTCGAAAAAAGACTTTTTTATTTATTTTTTTAAATGACCGATCATTTCGCTAGATAAGACCCTTATTCATCGTCTGGTATCCTTTAAAGCCCTTTGAAGCTGCACTGAAACTCTCATTTGGACCTTGAACCGTTTGGTTCCCATTGAAGTCCATTATATGGAGAAAATCCTGGAATGTTTCCATCAAAAACCTTAATTTCTTTTCGACTGAAGAAAGAACGACGTGGACATCTTGGATGAGATGGGGGTGAGTAGAGTTTTTTTTAAAAGTGAACTACTCCTTTACAAGTTTTTTTTTTCTGTTATGGACTTGCTGCTCCACGGCTTTGTGAGTGATCCAAGTGCATTTATTTAGGAGAGGACAGTCCACAAAAATCAGGCAAATGGTCAAATACACACTAGGCAGAATCCAAGGAAACAGACAGAGAGTACTAAATACTGGAACAGATGCTCAGAAATGCAGTGGTAACACTAACAAGACTTCACAATGAAAGGCAAAAACAAAAAAGCTAATGAACAGGTTGGGGAAATCAAATCCTAATGAGTTGGGGCAATGGATTATGGGGGATTATGAGATACAGGAAACAGAAGGAGGGCCTCTGGTGAAAACACTCCAGCTGGTGAATATGACAATTCCAACACTATCTCACGACCAATTCGTACAAATTTGACGCATGATTAAAAAGTGGCCAATTCGTACTAATTCGTACGACCTCACTCGTACTAATTCGTACGATTTGTCTAAACCCACGTGATGGTTAGGTTTAGGGGCGGGGTAAGGGGTAGGTCATTCGTACGAATTCATACGAATTGGCCAATTCGTAAAATATGTACGATTTAGCAAAATCGTATTAATTCGTACGAGTGAGGTCATATGAATTGTTACGAATTAGCCACTTTTTAATCATTCGTCGAATTCGTACGACTTGGTCGTGAGATCGGGTTGGACAATTCCAGCCTTTACCAATCTTAGAGCATTTGTAAGCAAAATTGACTGAAATATATCCAAATGAATCAGAATTCAGGATTTCAGGGCTTCTGAATCAAAATCGAATCAAGAAATCTGTATCTCTACCAGCCACACAGTACAAATGATCACGAATCCTGTTCACACACACAAAATATAAATTTTACTTGCTACCAGTCAGAAACAACAGTTGATGGATAAGTCTGAATGCTCCCATGAGGTTGATAACAACTACAGTTACAGCAGACAGTTTCTTATCATTAAATAATATCTCTGAGCATGCTAGGGAAATTTCAGTAACTGAAACTTTCAGTAACAAATATTCATTATGAAAACAGACCCATCTGTTTGCTGACTCAACTGTACGTAATCATTAAATAAAAAGAACAATAATCTGGCAATAGAACAGCTGTAATCAGCGGGCTCACACACAATCTGCACCCATACGATTTCCACAGAACTGGAACACCAAGTTCTTCACATCCCCCAACGCTTTCATGCTCGATTAAATATTTGGGCTAATTTAATTGTGTTTTCAGCTTCCAATACTCTCAGCTCCGATTAACACATTTTCCCAATGCTTAAATCCATTCGG